GCCCACAACGTTATCTAAGCTGTAAGCAAGTGAGCCTTTTAATAGTAACCAGAATAATCCTCCTCACTCCTCTTAATGTGTGAAACTAACACATCTTTGTTCCAAATGAAAAAGTGGTCAGGAGTACTTTTTCATTCAGAACAATGATGTGCCGATTTCGCATCTGCGTCTCAAGAAATGAGGTGTTATTTTCATTACTCTATTTGATAACAAAGCAACAATGTTAGCCTGCTGCAAACTTCGTAGTTTGGTTCAAATTGAAACAAGCATGAAACCATAACGGTTTTCTGCTAGTTACTTGCTTGTTTCATAATTTTGTATGGCGGATTGAACTGAGTGGCGGTTAGAAGATGTTTGACGTGTTCAACAACGATGTAAACATCACTAAACCATCACATCACTTGATGGTTTCCACCAAAGTACTACCACTCTAGGGTTTTTGTAAGAATTGTATAGAAGTTATATGATTGAAATCGAAAAGCAATGTTCAATAGATAGCAGTTCAAAGAATCACTACATCTGCAACTCTTGCTCTAGACATGCTTTTTCATAATTGATTTTTTCATGTGGCGATCATTACGACTACGACTTTAAGCAGTTTATTCAAACGTGGGTCTCATTCTTTATCATTTCGAACTCGTCATGATAGACTTTCCATTTACCGCCTTCCTTTCTCCAAATTTGAAATGATCTTCCAAGTTCTTTGCCTTTTTTCGGCGAGTCTACGATGATATCGCAGGATATACAGATGCAGCTATCACAACCGCAACACTTTTCGTTCTTCCTCTTAATGATTTTGACAGAATGACATAAGCGAATGAGATGGATCACTTACTTCAAATTTAACTTGTCCATATTCTTCTGTCATTTTGTTAAACATCTCCCCTATGACTGTAAAAGCTTCTTTAAGTAAAGAATAACGCTTGATAAAATGAATTCACTTTTCTTGCCGTATACCGCATTCTCGCCTTTTTGGACAACAACAGCATCGGTATGAAAATAGTCTTGGATCACTTTATCCAATTTCCCGGCATAATAATCTTTTTCCCAAGCTTCGGAAACAGAGCGCATGATAGCTGCTGCTTCTGAAAGGAATTTTCTAAACTCTTTCAGCAAAACATTAGCTTAAGCAGATTTTTGTTCTCTCAAGCAAATAAGTTCAGCTCACCTTCGTTTTTCATTGTGATCAATTACGTCACCAGGAAAAACCTGAAAGGGGTTTTTTACTTTCACTGTTTGCTAACAACAAATCAAAGATAATGGTTCTACAACACATATGATAAAGTAAACTCCGCATGGCGTTGCTACAGAACAAAAGAACCTGTTTTTTTACATATTACCTTTAAGCTTGCAAATGGAAAATATCGGTGTATATGTATCACAATTCATGGGAGAGAGCAATTTTAGGGTTGGTATTGCACAACAGATTCGCGAATGACTGATAACCTTGCAGTGAAAAAATCGTATCGGCAGACACTTTTATATGTGAATAAAATAAGAATTTTTCTGCGATAAGAGAAGGTAGTCCAAAGACCAATGTGCTCTAATGTTTTCGAGTAGTTTTGCACAGTGAGCGTAATGTTTAGCATAGGTCGCCTAAATTTCCAGATGACAAAGTCTATAATTTAATCATGACTAGTATATGATATATCTTGAGCAGAGAAGCTGCACTTGTACTTTCTGAACTACAAAGTGTCCCAAAAAATGCGCTTACTGCTTGATTATCAATGATTTTCTTGTAATAAAGTGTACTGCGAAGGTTTACATACGATTGTCAGGCCGGTTAGCATTTAGTTCACAATGTAAAATGAATTAGCGATGCTCTTAAGTATTGTAAGGTTACGTTAGGAACTACACTTGCCTCATTGTGCAAAAGCTGCAGTTTTGGGTAATTTCTAAAGATATCCGAAAACTTGGTGATAGGGTTTTTCAGGACGCTGAATTTAATACTCAACTGTGTGTTAGATTGTGAAATTTTTCAAAGTTGTTACCACAATTTTTAGAAACATGGAAAATACCGCTGCTGCTTACCTGCGCAAATTTTAGCGAAGTATTCTGATGAAACGCAGGGTTCATAGCCAATTTAGCAAGTCTAATTAGCTCAGTGTAAGGATTCTTGATTTCGTTTAAGTTTTGAGGCAAAATCCTCAATGGCTCAAATGTCGCTTTAAAGATTCTACTAATCCTAGGCCACTAAAGCGAACGCTAATTCGCTCCGTGT